TCCCACATGGCTGCAGCCTGGGCGGCCAAAGCAGCCACTTCATCATCATTCTTCGCGAGGGCCTGTATTATGTGGCTAAGGGAACTGCAAAGCACGGTGCCTCCAGATCAGGTCAGAGTACACCAGACATTGGCCAAGCTCCTCGCGGCCTCTCAGTTCACAGCTGACGCTTCGCTGTACGCAACAAAGTACGCGGCAAGATCCATTGCGGCCACAGTGGCCTCGCGTAGACTACTGTGGCTCAAAAATTGGAAGACAGACCTGAGGTCCAAGTGGCGTCTCTCGACGTCCAAATACAGCGGGGCATCCCTATTTGGGTCCATACTGGACCCGCATGTCAGTGAAGGCAGAGACAAGAGGAAGATATTAGTACACCCATCAAAGAAATTTGATAGGAGAATCAGTCAGGACTTCCGGAGACAGGGCTGGGAATGGAGGCAGCCCTTTCGGTCAGGGCAATCCTGGGACTGGCCCAGAGGCTCGCGGTCCTTCTACCCGAGACAGGATCGACCCCAGGATCGCCAAAGCACAGGAGCCAGAGGCCAGTTCCAGTCCAGACGACCATATAGGGGATCGGGAGGCAGGTCCTTTAAGCGCACCAAGTGACGCCAAACAGGACACTCCCATAGGGGGTCGGTTAGGAAATTTCATCGAGGTCTGGGAGCAGACCACTACCGACTTCTGGGTACTGGAAACGATCAGACATGGTCTGACCTTAGACTTTTGTTCTCCCCCACCAAGCCAGTTCATCAGATGTCCCATCTCCAAAAAGGTACACAAGGCAAGGCTGTTAACTTTGGCCATAGCTCACCTCCTGTCAATTCAAGCCATAGAGAGGGTTCCAAAGGGAGAGGAAGGAAGAGGATTTTATTCCATCCTCTTCGTTATCCCGAAGACATCAGGAGGATGGAGAGCAATATTGGATCTGAAGGGCCTGAATTATTACATAAAATACAGGAGGTTCAAGATGCACTCCTTGAAATCCATCCTAGCCAGCGTCAGGGAAGACGATCTGCTATCCTCAATAGATCTAACAGAGGCATACCTACACATTCCCATTCATCCCAGTTATCGGAAATTCCTCAGATTTACCTACGCGGGCCGGCATTACCAATACAGGGCCCTACCCTTCGGGCTATCCTCAGCGCCAAGGGTATTTACCAAGATCCTAGCAGTAATAGCGGCCCATCTCAGGCTGATGCCGGTTCGCGTACAGTTTTATCTGGACGACATCCTGATTCAGTCCAGATCTCAGGAACAAGCAAAGGCAGATCTCAACACCACAATCCGAACCCTACAGGGGCATGGATTCTCGGTCAATCTAGCCAAGAGTCATCTTACTCCCTCAAGGAGACTGCAGCACCTAGGCGCAGTGATAGACTCATCACAGTGCAGGGTATACCTTTCCCAGGAACGACAAATCAGCATATCCAAGCTAATTCACCAAATTCAGAGAATCAGGAGAGTGCCCTTGATACAGCTCTCGAAACTCCTGGGAAAGATGATATCTTGCATGGGCATCACACCATGGGCAAGGCTCCATTCGAGGGAGTTGCAGTGGTTCCTCCTACCCTACCAGAGGAGGAATCTCAGCACCTCCAACAGGAAGGTCTTGGTACCAGTACAGGTGATGAGATCACTGAAATGGTGGACATCCCCCAAGATACTCAAGGGGAGCATATTCAAGGAACCGAACAGGGTCACGCTCACCACAGACGCGAGCCTGTTTGGATGGGGAGCCCACCTGGGAACCCAGATAGCACAGGGCCAGTGGGACCAGAAGGACCTGTCACACAGCATCAATTGGCTAGAGCTCCGGGCCATCCACCTGGCCCTACGCCATTTCTCACATCTAGTAACAGGGAGACACGTCCTCGTGTTAACGGACAATGTAGCAGCCAAGGCCCATGTAAACAAGGAAGGGGGAACGCGATCAGCGGAACTAATGAAGGAGGCATTAGCTCTGGCTCGGTGGGCAGAGACCAACGTGAGTTCCATCAAAGCGGAACACATCTCGGGGGAGGCAAACACCCAGGCAGACTCCCTGAGCAGAGCCAAGGTGGACCAGTCAGAATGGCGCCTGGATCCGGCTCTGTTCGAGGAGATCTCCTGGAGATTCGGGCAACTGCACCTGGACCTATTTGCCAACCACAAGAACACACAACTCCCCAGGTTCTTCTCCAGATTACCGTCTCCGGAGTCGGAGGGAACGGATGCTCTCAGGTGTCGGTGGCCGGCGCATCTCCTATACGCCTTCCCACCGTTGCCCTTAATACTGGCGACCATACGCAAACTGATCCTGGAAGGCGCAGAGATAGTCTGCATTGCCCCGCATTGGCCACGGCGCCCGTGGTTTGCCGACCTCGTGGACCTTTCGATATCACCCCCGTGGAGGATTCCCCCGGACAGAGTAACTCTCAGCCAGGGCAAGTTTGTGCACCCAGACCCCCAGTGGCTACAACTAGCCGCTTGGCATTTGAGCGGCAAGGTTTAGCCAAGCAGGCTTACTCGGCAGGGGTGATATCGATCATACAAGCTTCACAACGAGCGTCCACGAACAGGATTTACGATGCTACATGGAAAGGCTTTTGTAGGTGGTGCGCTTCTGCGCGCCTAGATCCGGCCGCAGTATCCATCCCCAATATTCTAGATTACCTCCTGGAGGGTCTTAACAAGGGCCTATCAGTCAACACTATTCGCAGACAGATATCGGCCCTCTCAACTATTCTCTCTTGCGACAACTTGACATCCCTAGCGCAACATCCAGCGATTAGCGCCTTTTTAAAGGGGGCGACCAACACAAGGCCCCCCGTCATTCACAGGTACCCGTCGTGGAACTTGCCTAAAGTCCTTCTAGCCTTGACATCAGCACCATTCGAGCCCCTTGATTCGTGTTCTCTTCACCACCTATCGCTGAAGGTAGCCTTTCTCGTGGCAATTACTTCAGCAAGGAGAATTTCAGAACTAGCGGCACTATCAGTAAGGAAAGATCTGTGCACCTTTTTCAAGGACAGGGTCGTTCTTAGGCCAGATCCGGCCTTCATCCCGAAGGTAAACAGCATCTTTCACAGATCTCAGGAATTGATTCTTCCTGATTTCTGCCCAAAACCCAAACATAGGCTAGAGCATAGATGGCACAAGCTGGACGTGCGTAGGGCGCTGTGTTTCTACGTGAAACGCACGTTGGCATTCCGCAAGACAGAAGCATTATTCGTTTCCTTTCAACCATCATCTATGGGAAAGAAGGTGCCTTCTTCCACCATAGGTAGGTGGATCAGAGCCTGCATAGCCCAGGCATATGTCTCACAGGAACTACCAGCACCCGCACATGTGACCGCCCACTCCACACGGAGCGCAGCCACATCGGCGGCGTGGCTAACGCAAGCGCCGGTAGAAGAAATTTGCAGGGCAGCAACTTGGTCTTCACCGTCTGTCTTCATCCGGCACTACCGTTTAGACTCCCTGGCCGCATCAGACGCTGCCTTTGGTGGAAGAGTGCTACAGCAGGTCGTATCTGCTCAGAATTCGGTAGCCTAGACTTTCCCTCCCAGGGGGACATGAGGGCTTTGGTATGTCCCATCCATTGGACTCTACAGCCATCCTGCTGGAGAAGGGGCGTTGGCTTACCTGAACGCCTTTTCTCAGCAGGATGATGTAGAGTCCAAGCCCACCCAGGGCTTAGGTCTAGGCAGGTAGATAATAAAGAGCTGCAATATTAATTCCAACAAAGTTTCTCGCCTAAGTCAAAACTGGGGTCACGCCCAGAGGAAGGGGTGTGGCCAAAGTTTTTACCCAGTCTGCCGGGCAGGAAGGCTGTCATAGAACCCATCCATTGGACTCTACATCATCCTGCTGAGAAAAGGCGTTCAGGTAAGTCAACGCCCCTTTGGGGGATGTAAAAGTATCCTAATTTTTGCATCCATCCATCATAAAATACATAAATCCTTAAAATTTAATCCAAAGAGCATTACTTCCAAGTTACCTTAACAAATGACTCTGAAATGTTGGACACCAGGAATAACCCCTAGCAAGCTGTTGGCTGTGTGAATAAAGAAACCAGTTCTGAATATGCAGATTTTACAAATTGATTTATCTAGAAGGTTTTTTAGACATTTCCTGCAGAAGAGGAGCAGCTGTTGTTCAAATTATGAATTCAACTTTCATTTCTCGTTTTGAAAGAATTTGAGAATAATTTGCAAATATTTCAAGTTGCTTCTGTTAGGCCAGGGGTAGACAACTTTGGCTCTTTTATGACTCATAGACTTCAACTCCCAGAATTCCTGAGCCAGCATGGTTCAACTTGGAAACTCTCCCTTTCCCCTCAGCATGGCTGGCTCAGGAATTCTGGGAGTTGAAGTCCACAAAATATAAAAGAGCCAAGGTTGCCTACCCCTGTATTAGGCCTACTTTGAATGTTTTCAGCCTTGTTTCACATGCTCCTTTGTCTCCCCTCCCCTTCCCCGCCACACACACACACACACACACACACACACACACACACACACACACACCTTGCTTTGTTTCCCTTTTAATTTGAACAAGCAATTTAATGGAAATATGGAAAAGGCAAAGGGAAATGTCAGAAATCAAGGTGATATTTGCAGCAGTTTCTTCAAAGATCTCAATAACACCTTCCTAGTCTTCTCCAGGAGCTCTCTAACAAAAATACATCCTCAGAATGAATTTTAATATTTTTAAGGCCATCTTATAAGTTGCTGTAATGATGAATTTGTAGTGATCATTTAATATGATAAATATCTAGTTTTACTGTTCATTTAGTAGAGAAAATATTAGAGGATGGTGGAATTCCTCATAGTGGCTAAGCGAGTACATGGACATCAGATTCTGTATTCAGATGGATTGATTTGCAAGTTAAGTGCTAGCTTTGTGGCTTCCACTTTAACTCATCTTTTTGCAACAGCTATTGAGAGGAAATTAATTCCAAATTCTGAATGTTCTTTAAAAAGCATTTTTGTCTTTTCCTTTTTTGTTTTCTATAGAGTTTACAGATGTTGCCTCAAGAACGAAAGGCCATTGCAAAATTTAAAGAGCCCGCTGATGCGTTAAAATTTCAGCAGAAGTTTCACAGGTACATGTTATGCATTGGTTTTATCTTATATAAATTATTTTAGCCTTCCTCAAGATTTCTCAATGTTAGATAAATTGTATTACAATCCCATTATCTCCAACCAATCTGGTAAAAAAGACAAGTTGTTGCTGCTTAAGACAGCATTAGGGAAAAATTAAATTTAATAATTTAATAATAAATACTACAATATTAAGAACTTACTATATATTCCGGCGTATAGGGCGACCCAGCGTATAAGATGACCCCCTAGTTCGACGCCGGGTCGCAAGACGATCGACGCCGGGTCGCAAGACCATCGACGCCGAGTCGCATGCCTAGAAAGTCGTCTTATACGCCGGAAACTACCGGTATTTCCGGCATATAAGACGATCGACACCGAGTCGCATGCCTAGAAAGTCATCTTATATGCCAGAAACTACCTTATTTCCGGCGTATAAGACGACTCGGCGTATAAGACGACCCCCGAGTTCAGAGGCTGTTTTGACGCTCTCAAAAGTCATCTTATATGCCGGAATATACGGTATTTTTTTTCAACCATTTCATAAAGACCTATTATCTTGAGATTGGAGAACTGTTTAATTTGGAGCTGATTTATCATAGTGATGATCATCCTGAACACATGGACATCCTTGTGTCCATGTGTTCAGACCATGTGTTTCTCTATGTCTCAGTACACTTTTTTTTCAAGTGATATCTGTCTTTAAGCCACAGTTTTCCATGGTGTCAGGAATAACTGTCACTTTATGTACAATGTACAAATCAGGATTTTAAATTATGTTTCGTGTTAGGGGGTCTCCAAACTTGGCAACTTTAAGACTTCAGTTCAGCTGAGGAACTTCTGAGAACTGAAGTCCACAAGTCTTAAAGTTGCTATGCTGGCTGAGAAATTCTAGAAGTTGAAGTTCACAAATCTTAAGTTACCAAGTTTGGAGATTCCCGTTTTGTGTCATGATTTGGAAGTAGAATGTAAAGTGGATTCAGATTCTAGAAACCATAGTTTAACAAGCCAGTGTCTCAGTAAAAAAGTTGGGTTTTTGACTAAACTGGGTCCAGGATATCTGAAGAAATGTCTTGCCCTAATGCAGTGTTTCTCAACCTTGACAATTTTAAGGCATGTGGACTTCAACTCCCAGAATTCCACAGCCAACACTGCCCTAATGGGACTGGCCTGCCTTACATATTCTGGAAGAAAAGGCCTACTGCAGATTCTTACAGCCAAGAAATTTTGGCTGATGGGCTGTAGGAGAAGAGCCTTTTCCACTGTGAAATATCCTGTCACCAGAGGTGAGGTCTACTCATCCCATTTTTCTGGTCTTCCAAAGAGACCTTAATATCTGACTCTGGTGGTTTCTGTGGAGATACTTTAGGGTGGAGGCGGCTGTGCAATGATAAAAGAAACCACCAGCCCTGCCCTGTGTGAGCCCTTGAGGTTTTTACTCTATTTAATTTTTGTAATTTAACTGTTCTTACATTTATAATTGCTTTTAAATTTCTATTTATTTTTTTTTTGCATTATAAGCTGCCCAGACTCGACATAGGCAGCATATTAATTAATCAATCAATTTGACAGTGGAACAACCCAGTCTTGATTGAAGAACACTGGCTTGGAAAACTTAGCTACATCTGAACCATGCCTAAAATGGGGAGAAAGTGTGTACCTAAGTAAGTTCCTTTCTCCATTGAAAAAATACATCTGCCTTAAATCATTATGCATTCATCTTTTTTTCCAGGCACATGATAGATCTCTCCCATATCAACGTGGCACTGGTAGTGGAGTGACCACTGGGCATAAGTTATCCTAAAATATAGCAGGTTATGGAGGAAGTCAGAAGGGTAGAATCTTCCTGTAATTTCTGGTGCCAGCTTTGCAGACTTCTTCCGAAACTTCAAAATTACTCTGTGACAGCTGCTGACAATAACAACCTTGCCTACAATTGGAAGTTGGATTACAAGAGTGAAAACTATCTGTATGGAACATACAGAACTACAGATCTCATATGTGAATAGTATACATGGATGTTTTTAGACGATATACTGTGAACACAATGTCTTGGATCAAAAGAACTTTGACTCTTGAAAATAATTTTTGTAATTTTTTTTTCTCAGAAAAGAATATTTGATAATGGTTGCCCTTATCTTCAGTGTGGGATGTTGAAATCAGAATGCACCCATAATCTACTGGTTGTAGCTAAGCATACAGATGCCTATAATATAGAATAAAAGTTGAGCTTTATAATTTAATGGTTTTTTTTTTTTTTTTTTTTTTTTTTTTTTTTTTTTTTTTTTTTTGGCCAAGAGGCTCTGAAGCTTGTTCTTGAAAGATCTTATTCCTAGTAAAGTGAATGTAGTTGTTACGCATAAAGTCCCTCTCAGTATTCCTAACATTTCTTACTAACCCTATTTTGGACAAATTGTCCCACCAGTTGATGTCCTTACTAAGAAGGATGCTTGTATTCCTGGTTCCAAAACCTTGGAATGACATGTCGTTTAGCCTTCTCTTGTGCTTTCTTAGTGGGCTTAGAACTATCTGGAGGCTGCTGGTGATGAGAAAGTTTATATATTCAGGGCAAGGGGATTCATTTTGCTTAGGCTTTTAGGGGAAGTGAGTTTCTGGAGTTGAGCTTCCTATTTTAATTATTTTTTCTTTCTGCGTAATAATTGGCAGTAATGCTTGATAACAGTAGAGTCTGCCAAATCATTCTCTAGTGCTATTCCCACACCACCTGGTGAATTATGAAGACATTTCCTCTGAAATGTGGGCTCTTAGGAAGATCTGTGCAGGTTTTAGGGAAGTTCTGTTTTGTAGTAAATAAATGCCTTCCTTCAAAGAAAGAGGCTTGTAACGTTATTCCCTGCTTCCTTTGAACTGCGAGAGGAGAGAATTCCTTTTACTACTCTTAGAAATCTATTCAATGTTTATATATTTCAGGCCAATAAACATAGAGCAAATAGGGATTATAAGTTATTTTGAGCATATAGAAAAATAGTTAAGGAATGTTCTTTCAAGACTGAAGGCTATGAGACACTGGGAGGTAGTGATGTTCCTTTTCTACCCATTCAGAATCATATTCTGCCCAAAAAACTGTTCACAGTTAAGGAGAACGCGTGGGAATCAGCGATAAAGATGTGAAAACATATCATATCTTTTAAAGACAAAGCTGTTTTTTCCCACTGGTAATAAACATATCTATAGCATCTTTGGTATAGTGCAGGGGTAGGCAACCTCGGCTCTTTTATGACTCATGGACTTCAACTCCCAGAATTCCCGAGTCAGCTATGCTGACTCGGGAATTCTGGGAGTTGAAGTCCATGAGTCATAAAAGAGCCAAGGTTGCCTACCCCTGGTATAGTGTAAGATGTGGAGATATATTAGACATTTTAATGACCACTTAGTAAAGAACCATCTCCATCTTTGTGAAGTATACCTTGAATTTTACTATACCAGAGAGGTTTTTATTATTTACAGCTCTTAATTTGTGTTTGTTAAGAAAACTGGGATTTCAGCTGAGGGTACAATTTAGGCTGGCTTTTCTGTGCTTAGAATTGTATTAAAAACATAGCAGTCCCTCAGAGTCAAGTCATCCCAGGACATGATACAGTCTTTCCACAAAACTAAGGTTGCTATTTAGGATTTAAATTTTAAAGTAATTTTTTTTTTTTTTTTTTTTTTTACAAAACAAATGTCTTCACGTAGGTCAGGTACAGCTTGTCCAATACAAACGAGCATGATTTGCAGCTGCATTGGTTTGGCAGGTTTAAATGCAACCATGCCTGCCAGAAAAGGGGATTTTATAATGCCCAACCTCTACATCACATTTGAGGTTCGAGAAAACTTTTGTTTCTTACAAAAGTTTTATTTCTCAACAGGTCTTTGATTAGGCTGGATGCAGTTTAGGGTATTTTGAGGACTGAGGGTGTTAATTAATGCTTTTAGGCTTACCACTTCTCTATGTGGGAATCTTCTGTGGTGCAAGGCTTACAACTTCTCTACATGGGGAATCTTCTGTGGTGCAGCATTTAAAATAATGGTGTGGACTTTTGTGTGCTTTGTCTGAAAGCCTATCTCATATACATGATGGCGAGTGTCTAGTAGGCATATAATATTGCTCACCATTTTGCTAGAGGGGATTCTCTGAGATAAGGGGAGGAGGAGGAAGCTGATTTTTTTTTCTCTATCTCTCTTCGTATTTAAGCAGAAGGAAACCTGTACTATCTTTGATGAGCACCAAATCTTTCTCTTGAATTGTTTATAGATACTGCAAATACCTCGACTGATTTAATACTAAATTAGAACTGAGTTTGACGTGATCATAGTAACATTGGTCCCTAATTTTGAGAGGCCTTCCACAAAAACAAATCACAGTAAAAATAGGAGAGCCTGTTCTTTCCACAATGCTTCCTGAACTATCTCCACATCTTTGATAGAAGATCTGTTGCAACCATTATCTTGTTCTTTCTTTATCATGTGTTATTTTAAAGATGCAAAATGCAGTCATTGCATTTAATGTACTGTGTAAATACGAAACTTTAAAAAAAAAATAAATGAAGCTGTTCCCATTTTAATAATTTAGTTACACAAAAGCTTGTTTGGTGGGATGGGGAGGAAGGCAGTTGTGTTGTTTTATCAGAGTTGAATGGAAATGGTTCCATGTTGTGTTATTACTATTATTATTGGTGTAACTTCTGTTTTTTATAAAGATGCCAGTTAAGTCAATACATGTATCTTGACCGGTGTATTATTTGTTCTGAAACTTCGAAAGCATACATTTGGTATAGATGTTTAGCCAGTGACCACTGTATATGGAAACATTTTCCTCTTATTGAGATCATTTGGCAACATTTTCTAGGTCACTTTAGTTTTTTTAACCCATGCCAATGAGTAAGTGTAGTCAAGTGTGATGCTGAATATTAATAATTTTATAGTTCAAAGCTAAATGGCCACTATCATATTCATTAATTCATGCACTTTTAACATTTATTTTGGACAAGGTTGGATAATTTTAATTTCATAAGAAATTAAAGATAATCCTGTAATGATGTTTTTGTCCAGGTTAAAATGGGGATGATTTTCTCTCGGTTTAGCTGTCATGAGAAGATTACAGAATATCTTCTCTATATAATTATATGTGTTTTACACTTCTTCAGATTTTCAAAAGTTGTTCTGAAATGTTGATCATGAAGGAGGGATGTTCAGCAGAAATCAAATTGATAATTATTACAAATAAATAAATTTCTAGGGCTAGGACCCTAAAATATAGCTAGACTGCATAGAGATAGATGCACCAACTATTTGTAGTTTGTATCAAACTAGGTTGTTTGAACAATTGAACCACTGTTGACCAAGTATTATCCTTTAGTAGATAGCAACCTCTAAGTGCTGGTATGAATTATGTGGCAAGAATATAGACCTTTGTTGAAGAGACCTAATATGAGTTACATAACGACAAAGCCTTGTATATCAGTTCATTTGTTTATTTTTTTTTAATTTTTATTTATTTATTTATTTTATTTATACTTCATATTTCTAGACCGCCCATCTCCCTTAAAGAGTGAGTTTAGAGTGAGTTGATCACTTTTGTAAGGAAATGCCAGCATAAGATACAATTCCCCTTCATTCTTCTATGGTTTCTTGTTTTTCCAGAGGTGGCCCAAATGGTGAGACTAAAGGATTGCTGTATTTCTTGTCAGCAACTGACTTTAAATGGTACAGTGGATATTTCATTACCAAGAGGGCTCACGCACTGAACATAGTAATCACAGAAGAAATGAAAACACAATGTTTATCTTTGACACTTTTCAAAATAAGAACTGATGCTGGAAACTCTCCATAGTTGATCCAAAGAAATTTTGGCAGCTGTTATTTCTGTAGAAACATTTACTTGAACCAGGAAGTCAACTTAATTACACTACCTCAGAGATACCTCTTAAATGTTAGTTTACTTATTCTATTTATTCGATATAGTCCTGTTTCAGTTTTCATGATTTTATTCATGAACTATATATCTTTATCTGGTGGCACTTCTTGGATCTTTTTATGGGCATTCTTTACTATTAGGGAAACTAATAAGATATGCTCCTTGTCCACAACTTTAATTAAGTGTAGGTTCTTAATATCATGGGCGTTATCTTTTCATTAACTAGGTTGTCAGTATAACATACATGTGGATGGGGTTCTTCTTTTCTTTCCCCCCCCCCCCCCTTTGATTGCCTTTCTCACTGTCTTCTGAGCTTTATTTTTCAGCAGCCATTTTGGACAAAAAGAAGGGTTGGAGAATTCTTTTAACTGGCATCCAAGATAGTGCAGTTGGCTTTTAATGCCATAACGTACCTCTTGAGTAGCATGGCTGAGGTGTATCTGAATTAAGGTCACCACGATATAGCAAAATCCATACTCTTTACCAAAGTATTGCATTTGTAAAGTATTGCAAACTATTTTAAATCCTAAGGATTTTGTGTAAGGTTTTTGTAACCTATTTATTTATTTTATATATATATATATATATATATATATATATATATATATATATATATATATATATATATATTTAATAACTAATTACTGGTATGGGCCTTGAGCTCTAATGTTCAGAACATTGATTCATATTGGATCTCATGTATGCCATCATTTGGTATAAATCTGGTTGGGAAGGATCATTTTTAATTCTGATATTCAAAGGATATATTCCAGTTTCCATATTCACCTTTGGTAGTGCTGCTCCTATTATGTGAAATCTTTGGTTGAGAATGTTTTAAAAAAAAACAACGATAAAACTCAGTGTTGCTTTTTGCCGATGGTTTAAAAACATTTCTCCCCAAAAGAAGACAATGTGTTAAACTTTCCTCATGGGAGAAAGTTCTTAATGAAAAATCTTTAATGCACTCTGGCAAAGTGGTAAGCAGGATCCCCAAAGCCAGTAATATTAACTAAATCATCCGGCTGAATGCCATTGGTCCCCCCCCCCCCGTAATTTAGTAATACAGAAAATGTGTTGATTAATTGAAATTATTGTTAGAATAAAATTGTACAGTTGATCTGCTTGACTTAGATGCATAATGTTGGTCTGTTCTGTAAAGCATGTTTGTTTCCTCTCCCATTTTATATATCTGAAAATGAATATTTATTTTTATGTAACTGCATTGTTTTCCTTTCAGATACAGGGAAAGGAATTCATTTCTGACTCTTTTCCAGAGTTTAACTTCGAAATCAATATTTTTTTTTAAACAGGTGGAACTACTGCATCAGACTCATTCCTTTACAGGAGATCTTCAAGTTTTCATATCTTATTCAG